GAATAGATAACATAAATTTTTAATGATATAAACAATAGAATGACCAAATGTTTATGCTTTGATTTTTAGACAGCCAGAAACACTCGTGAATATGTAGCATTTAAGGCTGGTAAAGTGCATCTACAGTTTAATCATGTTGCAGTTGTAATTGCATAATCTTAATCAGAAAGGAATATTAGTATAGTATTAGCAGCAAAGGTAAACATAAATTAGGGATGCATAATTTTGACTATCATGTGCAACACACCCGAAGCAGAGGTCACCAATGTAATTCAAGATTCAGTATGTACATCTGTGTACTATGTACATAGTGTATATTTTAATATAATTTAATAAAACATGGCTGTCTCCCTATATAAAAACCAGCATCATTTTTCTTGCAGGGATGTATTGTGTAGCACTGCACATACAGTACTTTGACCTTAACGTGATTTATGATATTTTCCTTCTCCTGTTGCATTACTACTGTATGTAATTTTCTCTGGTTTTTGACCTTTAATGGCTATATGATAGGTTTGCTGTGATATTTATATTGGATTCCTCATAAATATATACTGCAGTATTACTTTAGCTATTAGTCTAAGAACTGAATGAAATCAGTGTCACATCAAACAGAAACATGAAATGCACAGGGCAAAATCTGCTGTGGTATATGTACAGCAATCAATCCATTAAGAATGCTCATACAGTACTTGAAGACATGTCCCACATCACTGTAAAGATAAGGCAGTAACATTGCAATTATAAAGAAAATGGTTCCACAATTAAATAACGTCTTTTTCACCACAGTGATAATCTGTGTCAGCAAACATAAATTCCCATCAAGTTACCTTGGAAGCAAAGCTTTAAAAAGCCACCCAACAACATCCAAACGCCATCAACAAACCATGACATTAATACTTCTCTGGGGATCAGCAGTTAGTGGGTTTACAGAGGTTGTATAGACATTTACTGTAGGTGTATATTTTTTATTTCCAGTGATATACCATAATGTTCCTCCAGGATATTGTAGCCTATAGTTTTAACTGGCATTTTGCAGTATATCCTTCAGACAGATCATTATTACTGTAGGTCTTTTACTAGCAGACCATATTGCAGATTGAGTTATTTAGAACATCAGTTTACACCATTGAATCCCAGCAAGGGGTATTTGTACCCCATGGGGTACGTGAAAAGATTATATTGAGTAATGTTAGGCCAATTAGTTTTAAAAAATGGAAATTACATTTGGTTAAAGTAGAATGGACGCCTTGTAGTGGCCATCGAATCACCAAAAATCAAGTCAAATATATGCAATCAAAGGAAATTAAAATAAAAGTAAATTTACTCAATTAAATTATATTGAGTGCTATTAACTAAACTAAATAAAATTTACTACATTACTTTAAATTGAGTTGAATTAAGTAAAATAAATTGAGTTGATTATGCAATTAAATTAGATTGAAATTAGTCAATAAAATTACATTGAGTTAAATAAATTAAATTGATTCAAATTTCAAATTAATTTACTTTTATTAAAACAAATATTTTTAATTAATCACATTTACTTCATAGATTAATTTACTGAATTGAATTGAGTGAAATTAAAATAAATTACATTTACCAAGTTCAATCAATTGAGTTAATAAAATAAATGAAATTGAGATGAATGAATTAAAACATTTTACATCAAATACATTTTTGAATTGAATTAAATAAATTTGATTTAAATTTAACTCAATTTAATCTGGATACATTTAATGTACATGGGTTAAATTGTGTCATAACACATGAAGGCTTGAGTTATGGCCAAAAACATGTTTTGTGAAGTCACAGTGACCTTGACCTTTGACCACTAAAATCTAATTAGTTCATCCTTGAGTCCAAGGGAACATTTGTGTCAATTTTTCTTGGAATTCCCCAAAGGCATTCCTGAGATGTCACATTGACATGAATGGAGCAGATGTGAGGTCACAGTGACCTTGACCTTTGACCACCAAAATCGAATCAGTTCATCCTTGAGGTTAAGTGAACATTTGTACCAAATTTAAAGACATTCCCTCAAGGCGTTCCTGACATAACGCATTCACAAGAATTGAAAACATAATGCCTCCAGGCACAGCTGTCTCCAGCATGAACATATAAAAATACATCCATATACATCAAGTCAGCTGTAACACACCAGGGTTGATTAAGAGTGTGTGAAAACTAGCTGAACAAGCAAGCAGAGAAGTAAAAGCAGTTAGCTAAGTAATCAGTACTTGAATTCAATACTTAACTTAAAGGGCTAGCAGTTGAATGGTTGAAATAGCTCAAAGTAATGGGTAAATGGTTTAATTAGTGGTGGTGGATAAATATTCGTGGTTGAAATAGTTAAAAAAAAAAAAAAAAGCTAAAACAATGGAGACCCACAAATTAGTGAAATTACCCACAATTTAGTGAAAGCATACTAATTGAAAACTAAAAAGTAATGGATACATAACATTAAAATTGATTGAAAATGGCTAGCTGAGAAAAATGGGAAAAGGTTTAAACTAAAACTAATGGACAAATGGTTGATTGATTAATCATTCAAATATTTTGCTGACGGATAAATATAATATTTGAAATGTAGCAACATTAGCTCGTACAAATGCATCTGACAAAAAAATACTCCAGATATTGCCAATTATCTAAAAGCCATAATAAAATTCGAAGTAACTTGTAATTGCTTTAAACCTGTGTATCCACTTCATAGATGCTCTGTGACTATTCTTACCTGGAGGTGTAAGCCAAAAACAGAACTCCTGGTGTCCTCCACCTGCACGGGACACTGTGATGTCAGCGAGTTTACTGCTGTGAGAGCTGAATATGCACATTTTCTCCTAAGGGTCACTTGGGTATTTTTAGTGTTTATGATATAAAAAGAGGTGAGAATCAAAGGGATGCCCAGGGTGAGAACAGCTACTGTGTTTGCTTGTTTCTAATTTTTTTCATTTGTAGCAAGGATATTCCTAAATCTGATGTTATTTTGGGCCCCGTGTATCTGCATAATTGTCTGTTTCATTTGCTTGCATTAAAAGATAAAACCTTCTTTTCACAGCTTGCTACTCCAGCCTACAAATTCCATGAATAATTTAAATATATAATTGCAAAAACCATTGCACATGCAAGCATATATAGTAATTTATATTCATCCCAGCTTGCTCATGCATGATTATAAATCATTTATTGGATATTGGCTTGTGTGTATTTTCATCGATAAGGTGCAAAATAAATAAGCTATTCAGTTTATTCACTTTTTTTCAATGGTGTCATCAGAAGTATTTTAAAAAGTATGTTCTTTAGGTTATTACTATAATGACTAAATATCTCACCATTTTAACATTGAACAACACATAATCTTATGTAATAATAATGTGTGGGGTCACACTTTCATGATCCAATTTAATTTTTGACAAAGCACCAGTCAGCTATATGTTTCATTATATTCTTTATGTCTGGCACCAGCTGAATTTATATACTGAATATGTTGTAAATGCTTTTTTCCAGTATTATTAAGTCCCCTTGACTATGGTTACATTACTTTTTGAAGATGTGATCGCCATTATGTTCACTTTTAAAATAAACATAGTTGGATTCAACTGTATTTGTTTGTCAATAGCAATTACATTCTCTATCCCAAAGTTGCATTTACAGTTGCATATGCATTTAAAGCTGAATTGGACAACACCAAACTCTTATATATTATGTGTTTGACAGTCAAGATAAACCAACCAGATCAGATCTGTAAGTTAACATACTGACCTAACATAAAAATCTCACTTAAAGCTGTAAGTCTTTAAGTGTGAGTAAAATTTAAATTACATTTAAATCTGTTTTTCAAAACTCTGCATCACAGTGGGAAAAATCAGTTTTTGTTTATCCATGGTCGTCACAAATACAGAACCGAAAGCAAAGCCACAAGGTTAAGTCTGAGCCGAGGAATGAACACAGACAGACAATATACTGTTCTCCGTACAGCAAAAAGACCATTATGCCCCAGTCAGACTGGCTCCCTAGAGCACACGAGTCTCATGATTTCAACGCCAGCATCAACAATTTCATTACACATCTGTGTGTTTGTTGTGTGTGTTTTCGGGTTCAGTGTTAGACAGCAGGTATGATAAACGGCACTCCACCAGAATATCAGCTCTCAAGATTTGCTAGGAAGGAAAAAACATGTATTTATCGACTGGTTGCCTGTTGACTCTCAGAAAAGCAATGAAGAGCAGCTAAATTCTTGGCACTGGCTTCTTTTTGCTCCTCAGGAGCCCTCTATTTCCTGATATGCTTCTCACTCTGCAGAAATGCTGCCATTTTCCCATTTCAGTTCCCGGCACAATCATCAGCATTTCTCCCTCCATGACATGAAAACAAACTAAGACTGAGTGCCTCTGCTTGTGTGTGGTTTCAAAACCCCTGTCAGCAATCACTGGGTGGGAGACAGCCATAAACTGCGTTTTAGAAGCCTATAATGGGCTACTGCAGCGCTGGCAAAACTTATATCATATTATGCCTCTTCCCATTCAGACACAAATAGGATCATTATTTTTGATAACTATACAGCAAGTGCTGGATAATTTCATTACACTACTTGCCACTGCATAATTCTATACTTCAGCTAAATCATCATAAATCTTGCCATACCCATTACTGTATTTAATTACAACACAAAATCAATCAATTACATTATGTCCTACAAATTATTGGAACATTAGGGTTGATCTATACACACAATTCTTCTTCATTCTGCCTTCCACTAACATTAGCGTGTATGTGACAGCGAAACAAAATGGTTTGAGAAGCTGTATACTGACTGGCGCTGTGTGGGTCTGTATATTTCTCAGCAGAAGACCTCATATTGTTTGTCAAAAGGCACAAGTGGCAATTTATAGCAGGACCTATAAAGTCCATCTCATCTGATGGGATGGGGGCAATGCCCTCATGTCATCCACCTTATAAAATGATGGACGCTCATGGATGTGAAAGCTGAAGCGTTTTATTATAAAGAAAGCAGAAGACATTTCATGGGCCACCACCAGTCTTCCCCTAATAAATAGTGGCTGTAAATGCATGTCTATATAGAACGGAAGGCCAGTTTTACAACCAGTTTTTTAATCAGTTTGAAAGACTAATTTAAGGTACATTCTACCCTCCTGAGCATTTCATCTGTGTATCAACCTTTGATTCATTTGTTTTACACACTTTCAAAAATGATATTAAAATCATTTTCTGCTCAAGAGAAGTTGTAAAATAGTATTTATTCACAGGATGGGACTTTTGTTTAAACTGGCTTAGAAAGCTATCAAACTATAAACATAAAGTATTAACTGCATATCAATCAATTATCAAATTTTCACTCAATCAACATTCTATATTCTCAACTAATTTTTCAGACTTTCTCTACCATGTTGTCCTGTTCACGAAAGTTTCTAATCTGCCTTCATACAGTCTCCTCCACAATGAACTCGATGGTATGCTGCGGTGACTGGCTCGTCTCTACCATGGTGATTTCATTCCCATCCATGGAAATAGTGGGAACAGTAATGGTCTGAGTTCCTAGAACGGCGGACGGCAGGATGACGACCTGTGAGGTTCCGTCCATGCCACTGAGCTGATCAGACGGGATCATGACCGTCTCGGTACCTCCCTCAGCCCCCTGCAGTACATATATGGTCTGTACTGAGCCAGACTCGACCTCCCCTGTGGTGGCCAGAGAAGAGAGCACCTTGGCCCCCTCCAGGACCTTCTGAACCTGGGCGGCCTCGGCTGCTTGTGCCACCTGCTCAGCGGTTTCCAAAGGCATGTCTCCATGTAGCCGCATGTGTTTATCCAGGTTCGAGCGAGAACGGAAGGCAGCGGGGCATTGGGGACAGGGGTAGGGCTTCTCGCCGCTGTGGGTACGGGCGTGCTCGGTGAGACGGGCAGCCACGCTGAAACTCTTGCCACATATCCAGCAGCAGAAAGGCCGCAGGCCACTGTGGATGCGTTCATGGTCCTGCAGATGGGGTAGCTGGCGGAAACGCTTGCCACATGTGGTGCACTGGTGGAGGGGTGAGGAGGAGAATGGGGAAGTGGGAAAGGGGAGAATGCACAAAATATAGGAAAGGTAAGAGAGTGGCAGAAAAGTACAGTTATGTTCACAACAGTGCCAAGGCACAAACTCGACTGCAATTAATATTTTCTGAGACCTCTCTTTATACTTTTCTGCAGATGCAGCACTTCTGGCTGGATAGAGGAAGAGCAGAGAAAACAGGGTATGGGGGAAGACAGACCGGATAAGACAGATAGAAAGCAATAGAAACAAGTGTTTTTCAATCAATCTACCGTTGATTTTCACAAAAATAAATTAATTGCTTGTCTATAAAGCATCAGAAAATAGTTTTGAAAAATAACCATTACAATTGCTTACCTAAAAGTAATTCTTGTTATTTCTGAGCAGCAGTAAAAAAATCCAATATTGTTTAGTTTACTGTCATAAAATACGAAGAAATCCAGCTAATTTCAATCAATTAACAGTGGACAAAAGGAAAAAATGTATCCAGTGAGCTGAGAGCTACACAATTTCTTAATAAAGTAAATTCCACAGCTGTACCTTTCCTGCCACTGTAACACTGTTTTCTGACTGCTCCCACCTGAGTGCAGACAATAAACTATAACAAGATACTTGATTAAACCTAAAGCACTAAAATAGAATGACTTTGTTGTGCTTTATTTTGATTCCCACGGGAGATGCTCAGATTGAAACGGTAGTGTACTCTAATAAAATTACCTTTCCTGCCGAGATTGCTCTTTATATACTCAGCAAATATAGGTGTTCCTTCAGGAACGCAGTGTATTTGATTTGAATTAAAATTCATCCCTACAACCGCCTCTGTGTTTGAGGACCGATGCTCCTTGAACCTCAGTCTTTAGCATGCCTGATAGATATGGCTCAAAGCAGAGCCACAAACATGAAATCAATTTCTACAGTCCGACGTGCTGTGATGGGCTTGGGTGGGTCTATAGTTGATGTCCTGCCTCGTCACCAGAGCAGCAGAGGGAGAGAGTCCCAGAATAGTAACAGGCACAGAGGGGAGCTGACAGGCCCTAACTCAGCCCTGCCATTAATCACAGGTACACAGGGAGGGAGGAAACACCCGCAGGACACACACTGCACAAATGGCCATGGTCCGGAACCAGAGAGATGGCCACAGTTATGAACGGGTGTTACGATGGCGGGTGAGGCAGTGCTGGATTTCAATTTGAAATACAGATGTTAAAGTGTTTGAAATCCTTGTGTAAAAGGACAAAATAAGATTAAGAGGGTCAGAAAAATTCCCCTTTTTAGATAAAACACACAAACACCATCCTACTTCTTACCTCAAAGGGCCTTTCATCAGTATGTGTCCTCATGTGAACAGTGAAGGTGGAATTGTAGGCAAAATCCTTGTTGCAAATCTCACAGGTGAAGCGGGGTCGGGTTTTGGACTTGCTGAGTGTTCCCTGGAAATGCGCCAGCACATGCTCCTCCAGGGCACTGTTGGAGGTAAATCGGCGGCGGCAAGGCCTCACTGGGCATTTGAGAGGCGTCTGGCCCGTGTGGGACAACCGATGGAGGTCGAGGCCCTCCTGGGTCATGCAACGGTGGCCACATAGGTCACACTCAATCTGAGGGCAGAATAAAGGCATGAAGGGAAAAGGGATGGGAATTAGACAAAAACAAAAAATTAAGGAGTTGGAAAAAGGGATGGAGGTATTAATGAAGAGAAAAGCCTGGTGTCTTTATGGTCCAACTGTGACGTAACTACAGTGTCACAGTTCGATTACAACTGGAGACCTTTGTTAGATGTCACCCAATTCTCTCTGTTCCTACATTTCCAGGCGGTCTCGAATGTCAGCTATCCAATAAAGGCAAAATGCCAAAAATAATTTTAAAAAGGTGAAAATAAAGAGATAAAAAGATCACATAAAATTTCAAGTGCTTGCTTCATTCTCATTAAAAACATATCTGTCACTTAAGATTAACAATCTCTTACTCTGTGAATGTCTTTGAAGTTGAGAGGGAAAAACAGAGTAATGATTATTTGTGCTCCTAACCTGTCCAGTGCAGCGTCCTCGGCCCTGACCCCGTCCACGGCCAGTATTCTTCTCCTCGTCTGTGGTAGGACAACGCTGCAGGTGGATTTCCAGCACTGACTGGTTCACAAACTGGGATGAACAGTGAGGACACGACGCCGGCTGCCTGTCTGTGATGGAGCAGTGTCAGGTTTTAGACAGGTGGTCATATTCTTTCCTAATACGTCGAGCAGCTACCGTGCCATGCTAATATCTGATGGCTGATTTGAGCTTGTTTAATGCTGGAGGTTGTGCCAATTATGCTGCAGTGACAGGTGGTACGCACAGAAATGCCTGGTGATGGGCAGCGGTGCCCAAACAGTCAGAGGCAGCCAGTTTTCAAGTGTCAACAAACATCGTTAGATTTTAATTGTGTTCCATGGTTGCTCATACTATGAACACACAGGGAGAGTTCAACCTAAAAATGTAATACACAAGATGTTAAGATAGAAAAGACAATAGTTCTTTTTCACAACAGACATTTAAAATTAATGATTCAGTTTCAGGGTCCAGGTATTGTTCATGGTGGCTTGTGGTCACACTGTCATAGTCCTTTGGACACTTGAATGGAGCGAAGCCATCGTTGTTGCCATTAGTAACACCTCTTCCTAAAAGCATGACAACTCAAAATGTCTGCTGGTCCATAAATTGATTACACCATCGAGAAACAATTAGTCAAACAATTTTGATCATATATTCATAATTGAAGTGCTTTATCAAGCAAAGGTGTGAAACATTTGCTGCTTTTCTCCGCTTGATATAATAATGACAAAAATATTTTTGGTTTTTGGACTTCTGAAGACATCACCTTGGGGTCTTAGAAATTATTATATTATGTTTTTTCAAATTTTTAAAGACAAATTATTATTATTATATCAAATAATTACATCTATCAACAACAAAGTATCAACTGAGCTAGACAGTCACCCTCTCAATAATCATATGGTCTATGACTAGATGTCAGAAAATAACAAAAATCTCTATTTCCCAGAGCTCAAGTGGCATCCAACATGCCAAAACCTTAAACCATTAAATTTACAGTGGCATAAAACAGATAAAAAAAACAGCAAATCCTCACAACTGAGAATTCAGAACCAGCTAATTTTGGGCATTTTTGCTTGAAAATTTATTTAAGTGATTTGTCGATTGTCAAAACTGTTGCAGATTAATTTTCTGTCGAACAGCTAATCAGTTAATTCATCCATTCATCATTTCAGCTCTGATCAGCTGGTGGCCTAGTTGTATTTTGGCAAAGCAAACCACACTCTCACTTGGGTTGCTCTTGTAAAACCTGGCTGGGAAATCGCTGACACTGATGGTTCATCAGTATGTCCATAGGTCGTCACACCAACATCTTGCAATCTGCTAACCATCTGTACTGTCTATCCCAGTGGGGGTGATCCACTCTACTCCGCATTGGGGCCCTCTAATTAAACCTTTAATAAGGACAATCTCAGCCTATGGCCCTGGACTGATCAATGGATCAATCTCTCCAATCATCTCTCTAAAAGGAGCCACATACCTCTGACCCCTGATGCACGCTGACTCTTCAGGCTTTACTAATGAGGTTGCTGTGCCAACGGCCCCCTGATTAAGATGAAGTGTCAACATGTTGACCCAATTCATTTACCTCCACCTTCCTCCTCCAGTCCACATGGGAGGCAGATCAATGGAAAGTCATTGACCTAATGCATCGTAAGAACAATGCACATACAACATGGATGTATGTTTGTAAATAAACAAGATAGGTCACCCAGGCAACTTGATGGAGGCATTTATCGCCAACTTTGCATTAATCAATAGTAATTAACTGAATGTTGTAGTGATAAGAACATCATATCTGATTAGTTTCCATTGCAACAAAGTGCATCTGCTTTGCATCTGATTGCTTGATATGTTCATCACATTCTGTGATCCTCTTGAATGCATTCACACTTTCTCACAGATGGAAACGCTGATCAAAGACAAAAGACAAGAGCTGGTCACATGGACAAAGGATATGCGACATGAAAAGAGAGGTAAAAAAAAAAGATTTAATAATGAAAAAACACCCCAGCCCAGAGGATTGATCGATATCATTTCCGTATTTTCAGGTAGTTCCTGGTAAAACATACAAGTATGGGGGTGAAAGATATATGTCGGGCTGAGCCCTGATCTCTCACCTTGATGAGTGAGCGAGTGCATGTCGAGGTCTTTCCTGCGTGTGAAAGCCTGTCCACAATCTGCGCAAGGGAATGGGTGGCTGGTGTGGAGCAATCTATTTAAACAAGAAAAATTACATATTTAAGCAAGTGCACAAACACAACAAAGTCAGACGATTTAACCATATACTATTACTAACGTTGTAGACAACAATTACAGTTTCTAACACAAAAATATCCTAACACAAATATGTTCAGATGGGAGTAAATGGGCAGAGGTACTGTGTGCAATGTGTAATGATCACAAATATTTAAAATTAAAAAAAAAATTAAATTAAATATTTATATGCCCCAATATATTAAATACATTTCAGATTTAAAATGTCCCAATTCAAAGACATATAATAAACCTTAATAGAGAGGTAGAAAAAGTCATGTTTTGGTTTCGAGCTGCCGCCCTATATGTGACTTGTGGGAGGATTGCCAGCAAGTATGTGCTTAACTGTGCTTCAGGTTAAATAAGGGGTATTAGCTGAGTGTATAAAGGCTGGAGATAAAAGAACAGCAGTAAACTGGGAGGAGTCAGAGTGAGGACATGAAAGACTATATTTATCCATTGCATAACGTTACGCTGGATATAGCCTTAGGGGAGGAGAGAAGTGTTAGGATGTATTCACCTAATGCTGCATCAGGCCTGCTTTCACAGCATGGAGAAAAAAAAAAAAACACTGGTTCTTGGGCAGCTTTTAATCAGAATAAACAAGAATGATGTTGAAGTTTTAAAAACACGCTTCGCTAAATATTGCATACATACAAGTATATGTATTATGTATATCATACTCCTACAGGTATTATTATGGCAAAAGTATTTAAGCACACAGGTCACTTAAAGTAAAGCAGAAGGCTAGAGGTGATGTGCAAGGACTTCTCAAGGGTCCAGGCTGTTTCTATTCCCTGTTAAACAGACAATAGAAATCAATATTTCAAGGACAGCTGACCCTGAGGTGGATGGGAGAATTAAAATTTCAGTCAGGGTCACTTCTCTTTCCAGCCAGATGTTCTTTAATGAGTAGGACTGATGCTGTACAGTATTAGTAGGTAAGTAAGTATAAACTGCACATTATAAGTAATACATGTGAGAATAGGCTGACTAGAGCTAAAACGATAAGTTCATCATTTGCTTGTTCCAGCTTCTCAAATGATGATGAAAAAGATGCTGCTTTTGCTCATCCTCTGCTGCAATATCTTTGTTTAGCACGAAAGTTCATTGTTGACTTTGGAAATAAAGAAAATAATCTTCTTCAGAAAATAAGCAACATAAGTAAATTCTATCTGCTCATGAGGACGGTGAGATACCGCCGAAAGCTCTGGAAAAAGCTTCACAGCAGACCTTGAGTTAACATTATTTTGTCAAAATTAATTATTTTTGGGTTGTGGCATCTTGTGATGTGCATATCCCTCTATTTTCTGGCGTTTTACAGACCAATCGACTCATCAAAAACTCAACAGAGTAACTGATAAGCCATTATACTGATTGATATTGGCCCAGCTGGTACGGCAGAAATTGGCCGAAACCTTGGGTTCCACTGGTTTCTAGAACATGCCACTGGTTTTGGCAGTCAGTCCAAGACAATCACAAGTGTAGTATTTGAACAACAAAACCTTGATCCTGATCATTGTTCTGCAGGTATAAACATAGCATATACAGTTTCAAAACTGTAAAGCCTAAAGCCAGTGCTTTTAACTTACAATACTGTATTTCACGTCCAATGTGTTATAGCCAAAACCAATAAAATACACATACACACACAGTATATCCTCTGCCCCTCGCTTAACCAGGTAGGACAGGACCAGGCTCCATCCTGGGTTGTTATCGTTATCTTAATTTACTGGGCCTCTGTCTGCCAATCATACGTGGCCGAGGCTCAAGGGCACCCAGACATCTCAGTTAGTGTGTGTGTCACATGGCTTAAAGATCTTGCTCAGTAGATGGACACGGCTCAGCTACTACAGCTCTGGGCAAGGGTGGGTTATCTAAATCCTGTCTTGGGTTCTGTTGGAACCGCAAGTCTAATGTATTTACACCAAAAATTGGGTTGAAATTAAATGTTGACAATTGTCTGACATGTTTTTGTTTTTCTACCTACACTCCTACAAATAAAAGATGCTTAAAAAACAAAAACGTGTTATTACTTGTGATGGTTAAGCTGATCTTCCGTGTTGAACCGTGACGGGCAGTGAGGACACGCCAGAGGAGCTCCTTCACTGTCCAAACCACACACCTGTATAGAGGGACACAGAAATAAAAAAATTAAAAAATAATCATTGCACGTTTACCACAAAAATATATAATTCTTGATGAAAATTCAGTTTTATTTCAAAAACAAGTTATCTACTATTTAAAAAGTGTGATGCCAGCTAAGAAAACGACTGCTGACATCCAAATGAATCTGAATCATTTCATGTAGTTTTTATTTTTATATATGACATTATATTTCAATTTGAGAACAATTTTAACAAGTAAACAATAGTAGGAAGTGTACCGGTTTTCGTCCACGCTTGCGCTGAGGCTTTAGCAATGTGTGAATGCGTTTGTGTCTCTTCAGGGTGGAGCTCTGGGAGAAGTTTTTGCCACAAACATCGCAGTTGAAGGGCTTGCTGCCCGTGTGGTTCATGCTGTGGCGCAGCAGGCTCTGGGAGTTAGTGAAGGACTTTGGGCACACCTTCACAACAACAATAATCAAGATTAGTGTCACTGATATATTTACTTGATATATTTATTAGTTTTAAGCATCTCATGTAAGGGAATGAATAAACTTGTATATGGCTAAATTTTAACAAATTACGATTTTCAAATCAATTTCCACTGTGCAGACACACCGGGGAATCTGTCAAATATAATGAGGTTGGAGGTTCAAATTGTGTCTGCCTCCCCTTCAAAGCATTACATCATCTCATCAATGTCAACTGCACGACATAAAAGACATTTATATCAAAGCATATTATCCCTCAGACTTGAGAAAGGACACATTTTGATTAGATTTTGATTGGCACCTTGCACGTGAAGAGCTTTTCTCCAGTGTGGCTGTACACATGGGTGCGGAGGAATACGCGTCGGGTGAAGGTTTTGCCACAGTAAGGGCAAACATGGGGTAATGGTGTGCGGGCCCAGTCCTGCAGCAGTTTAACAGGTGGAGGATGGTTGGTGTTGTCTGAGTCTGCTGCAGTGCTGCCCTCTGTTTCCTCTTTGCTGCCTGAACCCTTGTTTCCTGACAACAACAAAAACAATCCATTAAAGCCAAAAGCTTTAATTTATAAGCGATAATTTATTTTTATTTTTTGCAAAAATTGTCTTTAAAGCAATGAATTCCACTTACCTTTGACAACATTACCACTGCTCAGGATCCTGAAAGAGGGCCTACCTCTCTTAGGAAGGGGTGAACCTGAATCACTGGCAGAGGCAGGCGGGGAAAGCAGTCGCTTTGAGCTCTGTGGGGCACCTTGAATTTCAGTGGTGGCTGTTTCATCGCCACTTTCAGCTCCATCCGCCACCTCCATCCCTGATGTGAAACGGTGCTCCCGCCGATGGTACAGGTACTGGGTGGTGTTCATGAAGCTAACCCCACAATGGGAGCAACTGTGTAGTGCCTCCTTCAGGTCGTGTTTCTGCTTACGATGGGCAGCCAGGCCTCCCTCATCGCTGAAGCTCTGCCCACACTGGGTGCACATAAACAGCTCAGGCTGTGTGAAGGTAGGTGTGACACTGGTAGTGGAGGGAGTGGGCTCCTGGCCCTGCTCATCAGTCCCATTGCTCTGAGAACAAACTTCCTCTGATTGTGTTGCTTCACAAACGACTACCACCTTTTCCTCACCTTGCTGTCTGTGTTGCTTGCGGTGGTAAAGAAAAAGTGTAGTGTTTAGAAAGCTTTCCCCGCACACAGAGCAGCGGTGCAGAGCTTCCTCAAAGCCATGCTGGGTCTTGCGGTGGGCCACTAGTTCAGACACCAGGCCGAAGCATGAGCCACAGTCCACACACAGGAGAACTGGTTCAGGCTTAGGCTTTTTGTTTGCCCCCCGCTTCTTGGGAGACGAATCCTCTGGATTAGAGGTCGTAGAGGCCGCCTCAGAAACAGGAGGATCAGAGCTCTGAGCTGTAGAGGTCTCTGTAACCTGCTGCCACTCTTCCTCTTCTACAGGTGTCTCCACTGGTTCTGGCTTTAGATTTTTGCTAGTTTCACTCTTTGAGAGAGAAGAATCATCTGGATTCAAAGTTGAAGTGGGACTCTGAGCTGAGGACGTGTCTGCCTCAGGTTGCGAATCAGGGTTTGACTTGCTCCCTGAGGCAGACTGCTGACATGTCTCTTCTTTACGGTGTTGCTGCCAAAGGTCCAGGCTCTTGAAGAGTTCATCACAGTCCCCACACTGGTAGAGGATTCTGGGCTGGTCTGATGACAGCTTTGCACTGACTGTAGCCTGCTTAAATGTACTCTTTTCAAGTTGCACGGAGGACTGTTCTGCTTGGACTTGAATCTGTGGGACTGCAACTGTCCTTGATATATTTATTACCTTTTGCTGCAAAGACAAGGGAGGAAAGAAAAATCAGAGAGATTACTTTCAACATTTGTGTGTTTTTCTTTAATTCTATTCTGTCTGGCAGATGAGGAATGAGAATTCAGTGTTGGGGTACTGAGGTCAATTAGTGCAGCATGTGTTTAGAGCCAAGGTTCCTCTGAGAGCTCCAGACCGCCAAGATAAGGCCTCAGCCTGGACGATAGCTATCAAAGGTTGAATGGGTCATTCCACAGGGTTTTACATTTGCTACTTCTGTCCATTCAGATGATAAAAACAGAATATCAAGGGCCAAGGTTAAAGACGTCTGAAACTGCCTCAATCACAACAGTTCAACATGTCTCACATACAATAATGATTTGTGGCATACTTTATTTCTGTTTTACCGCTGACTGTACAGCTAAAGCTGTTTACCTACATTTTTATCCAGTAAGCAGTTGGAAATTCAGGGTGGTGATGGTCTGCTGAGCATAATTTTTTTATGCTTCTTAAGTGAACATCTCTGAAATATTGTATGCGCATGTCTCAACTACTTCTTGAAATTGAAATAAAACTAAAGTGGTTTGCTTAATTGGTCCATTTTTATCAATATAACAAATGAGTATTAAATGCATCACATTATATTCAAACAGCTAGTAACTTGTAACAGTTTTAGTTTGTTATTTTCTTTGGTTACAGCCTTCTGGCAAACAATTGGCATATTCTTTTTTAAGGCTGTACAGAAAATTTGTATATTTGTTAGTTCTAAAGTATATGCTGACTAACTGCACAGTCAAGCCTCTAATCAAGCAGAAAGTCAAGATCAGTCAACAACAGGATTTATGTTTTGAACACAACAGGAATGTATGGAACACTTTTTATCTTCTACTACAGCTCGACAGTGGAGAACTTGTCATTAACAGCCTTGTGTACAATCTAGTCGACAAAGGACATGATTGGACTGTAGTTTAAAAAAAACATGATTCATACACATCCACTGCAATTTATAAATGTTCTTGCAATTTTACACAAAGTCAAAAGACCTAATAACATTTCTGTAAATTTTCCTCCACAGCTCTAGCCTTCACAAAACTGGCACCATTCCCGGATACAGCACAGAAAACCCACAAACAAAAGCGTTCTATCAGCCCATCTCTGGCACTACACTGGAGATAAGGTTGCATTAAAAATAAAAGAGAAAATAATATCAGAAAGAAGTATTAGTAAAAAAAAAACAAAAAAAAAAAACAAGTGTGTATCCTTACATCCATACGTCTCACCAAAAAAATACTCTATCACTCAGAAAACTGAACCCTTCATTCATAGCAAATGTGGAAATGTTATAAGGGCTTAGATCTTCATATTAAACATTAATGTAAACTTGTAAGTCTTCTTATAAGTACATCTTTACCATTCAGAATAAACCTTTTCACACTGCGCAAGAAAAACCTTGGACAAGCCTTGAAAGGAAGGCTATGGGTTTTCACACTACACAGCTACTTCACATACCTCAAAGAAAACATCCCAAAGAAAAACTATTCTGAACATTTTGATTCATAAAGATTTTTAACTCTCACTGTAATCTCATCCTTCTTAGTCTACATATTATAAAATGCTCCTCTCATTTATGTTTATTTTTAATGTAATACAATTGAGTGTTTTTCATGTTTATGTCACAGGTCCCTCGTTTTATCATAATAGGGAGGCTTTCATTTCATTTTAATCTTTGAAACAAGGCTTCCATTACAAAAGTGACATGCCGTACCATTTGTAGGTGTATACACAGTGTGCACACAGTTATAAGTTTCAATAAGAGAGGCACTTCCCCATTTAAAAAAAAAGGGAACATGAACAAATCTTTTTAACCTTTGTGAACAGTGCACAAGGTTTATAATAGTTTTTTCATACTGAAATTAATACTGAATGACTTAACAGCTTCTGCTCATAGTTCAGACAAAATACAGCTTCATGACTACCCTAAACTATTATGGCTTGACAGTGCACTGTTTTATTGGTGTTGAAGCTTCAGGAGGATGATACCTCAAACAAAAAACGCATTAACATACAGTGAATGGTATACACGAGGCATCGACTGTCCTATACGCTTTGTCTGCTCTGCCCACTAGACAAACTTTTTTGGTATGCTACAAATGGACATTAGACGTTAGAGATTTGATCCTAATAAAATGATATGATGTGGACATTTTTTAAACTAAGAACTTTAGCTGTCAGGCAGCTGTCCTACTGAATTTGATAACACAAGTACTCAAATCATTCTTGGAGAGCTTCTGATGATGCCATATTGTATGTGAAGAGAATATTTTTGGTATCCTGATAAGGAAGTTTGCAGATATAGAAGCTGAGTCATAATTTCATCCAAAAAGGAAATGAAGGGGTGAATTTGTGAAGTCAGAGGATGGTGCACTTCTGATTAACCAAATCACCAAAAACGCAAACTCTGACTTGTTCAGTGCACAGTATTGAGGAAACATTTCATTTTCCTTTAATGTCTGATCTTCTCACTCTCAGACACAGGAGACACCGCCTCGGGTTGTATGGCTCCAGCCATGACCAATCAGTCAAGGTGCAGTTCAAATCCGTGTCTGTCCAGATATATATATATGTACTCAACACTTATGTGTGTTGAATAAAGGCCAGAAAAGTGTTTTTGCAGAACGATGTCACAGTGAAGTTGACCTTTGTCCTTTTGGATATAGAATGTCATCACTTCTTCATTTTTGTACCATTAGACATTGGTGGGAAATTCTCATAACTAGCATATCAATTCTTGAGCTATGGCCAAAAACATCTTTTGTGAGGCCACAGTGACTTATAACCTTTGACCACCAATCAGCTCGTCCATGAGTCCACATGAACAATTACACCAAATTTGAAGAAATTTCTTAAGGTGTTCCTGAGGTATTGCATTCACAAGAATGGAACGGAAGGACAACCCAAAAACATAAGGCCTCCGGCCAGGGCTGTCGCCGGCACAGAGGCATAATGAAGTGCAAATTACACTCTGTGAATTCAATCACTCATCTGGGGAATGAGTACAGACGTGTTGAAAGAGCTCTCTGTATCCATTTCAGCCATAGCAGCCATTGTTTTCTATCAATGTCATATAATGCAGACAGAAATTATAATACTCTAGCTAATGAAGTGGGGTGGCTTGCAATAAACCAGCTTATGGCAAAGCAGAGGCCAGGAAGCCATAAGGTATGCAGGTTTTATAGTGTTTCTCCAACTGATTCATCTATGAGAAGGCCAATGAGCGATACATCAGGAGAAAGGGTGGCAATGACTGATGCATTTCTCATGCTTCTCTTCCCGCTGGCAACTCAGGATGCAATCTGTCTGTCATGAGTGTCACTGTGCTTTATGGACGTGTGTTGAAGACTGTAAGAATGGAAGTCTGGGCACAAGCTCAGACAGCCATGCCCTACTGCTAAACGAGGGCCAATGGCTGCTTTTAACCCTGGGGGCTTTCTGAAGCTGTCAGGAGAGAGGCAAAAGAAAAAAGTGCGAGTCACACCAAAACTCAGCTGAATATGTCAAAGTTAAACAGAATAAATCGCTGTGTTACACAACTTTCAAACTCTGCAATTCAGATGGCGTCTTCATGGAATTTTGAATTAATAGAGCTCAGCATTTTGATGAAATGTATGAAAAGAATAAATACCAAACAGGACACACATTGTAAAAAACACTGAACACAATGCATTATGTAAAAATCCACAGGCCTCTCAAATGCACTAGCCAAACAATAAAAATACAAGAGAGTCCATACAGAAGCATACATTTAGTACCCAGAGGGTATATACAAAAAAAATGACAAGTTGCAGACTTCACCCAAAAGAAGCAAAAGGGGAGGCCCCATCAAAAAAAGACAGAAAATATTTTTTCCCTGTCCTCATGAAAACAAATTGTTCATTATTAATGAAGCATGAGGAACATTCTGGTGATTCAGCTGGCCTCGCTGGAAAACATGTAAATGTGGCGTCTTGGACATCAATCTGGCCTGGGACCTTTATCATATGTCACTCACTTCCACTCTCAATCTTGCCTGTTTTAATCTACTGTGATTTATTCTATTACGTCCAAAATAATGCAATGCTTGCTTATATTTCTTGTAACCATGTTGCTATTGTATTGTATCACATGACCAAAAACAACATCTCGGTTAAGCAGGTTTATCTTCTTTGACTTAACAAACTTCTATTCAACAACCAACAACTCTCATATACTGTATATCTTACATGCCAGTTCAGAGCTTATTAAAAATATAAAACATGCACTGTCGTGTACTCTGAAATATAAAGTTAGATTTAAAAAGTCTAGCACTCTATAATCCATAATCCATCCACTTTTAGCACTGCCACCTTTTTGCCTGTTCCACCTGTTTGCCTCACAAGTGACTCATTACTCTGATAAACAACGTGCTAATGTGTTATTTTGCCATTACGTGAGAAAGAAAGCAAGTCCAGGTGGCTCTTAAGTACTTAGAAAAAAACTGTTGAATAATGTGCAGGCCTTGCTACATATCCACTGTCAACTTATCGAGTAAACGTTAGGAGTTAGTGACAGATATTTGTCCTTAATATGTATACTGGTATACTGTATGTACATACACATGTTGTAGTGAGGGGCTTGTAGAAAACAGGAATTCAGCCTAACAAAAAGATCTCCACATCCACTGTACACTAAACCTTGAAAACTTATTTTAGAAATGTATGTAATGACCTTATAATTCTGATACAATTGTTTTTACTTTCTTTTAGATAATCTAAGAAATTCATGCCTGTTTATCCATCTTAACAAGGTACTGTCTGCACTCTTTCATAGCGTGGGACAGTTGCCAACTCATCTATATCATTTGCATTACTGATGTAACAATGTTTTATTGGTGCCCTCTTGGCCAGGTTTCTCTTCCAAAGGAGATTTCATTGTCAATGAGACTTTTGCCTGGTTAAATAAAGGAAGATTAAAAGAAATTAAACTGATACGTGTTAAGTAACAATTACACCATAAAAGACGAATAACGATCACCATCTAAACAAAAAAGACTTCCTCATTATTCTGTGGTTAAAAATATGACATCAGCGTACAACTAAATCAGATATAAATACAGAGCAAATCATTACAAACAACTAAATGTTCTGATGAGCGCTCTGATGAATGTCACAATTACTACGATGAGAACGGGAGCATTGTCAATTTATGGCTAAAGTTATTCTTGTCATTTCAATGTCATTTTCCAGGCATGATTTAGAGGCTTTTACACGATCACACAGCTGGCCTTTTCAGGCCCCACCATCACAATATTGATGCTTTTTCAATTCTATTCTTGCACTCAGAAACACCCAGGCTCAATCACATGTTGAAAGGGAAAATTGTTGACTGTGCCAGTACTTACCTGAGTCTGTAGCACTGGAACAGTGACAGCGGTGGTTCCTGATGTGTCTGACTGTTCATCCTCAGCTGTGCATGTCAACTGGTGCTTGAGTACCTCTTCCAGAGTGTTGAACTCTTGGTAGCAGGGGAAGCACATGTACACTGATGAACTCTCCATCTCTGCCAGGGGATTAGAAATCAAAAACATTTCATAAGAGAAGCAGCAATTCAAGCCTGATTTAGATAAAAGGTGAAATAGTTCACAAAACTCAACATGCTTTGAATAAGAAAGTAATATCACAACGTGAGCCTTATACAGATGCCTACCCACCAGTGCATTACATTTGAAGTTAAGTTGTGAACATTGCCCTCTCCTGATGAAAAGAAGTGCCTGCATATATTATCAAGACAACAGCTTGGACTCAAGTGCCAGGAGGCTAACTCTGGGGTTGCCAAGATGACTCACCATGCGCTGAGCCTGGACTAATTATTATTTTTTAGCTCATACTACTGCTGAATGTATACAACAATCAAAAACACAATCTCTACAATCCTTCCTACTCACTAGGTACCAGGCAGACCATATACAACACCAACAAAGCTCTACTTTGAAAAAAGAACCTTACAAATAAAAGAAACCCACTGGAAGATACGAATCAACATGTTTGAAAGACATCAATGTGACATTTTAGTTTATTGGCAGACAAGACTATAACTTCAATTAATAAGGATGGTGATTTTCTATATTCTCTTGTAGTTGAGAATTCCCATAAAAAGATAAAAACCAGCCATGCTCGTTAATTTGTCTCTTCTACTTACTTTTCACATTACCCAGTCCATCTGTGTCATTCCTCACAAAGCTCATTAGTTCCCACTTATGATATAAATGTTTGAATGGGTCATTTTGGAAAAGGGACTTTTCCCCCCAAAACAGCAATATCCTAAAACAGCTGGCCGATCTAGGTTTTAGCAAATGTTGCTAAAACTGGAGTAAATGGTTTATCTACTGCATCTTGTCATTTAGTGAGTATTTACAGCAGCAGGACAGTGTATGTGGGATCAGCTCAAAAGACTACAGTAACCACATGGTGGAGGGATAGGGCTTGGGCCAGGGAATCACTGGTATCACTTTATTCAACACTGCGCTCTACTGAGTGCCATTCTAGTTTTCATTATTGATTGATCTGGCAATTATTTTTTCAATTAATCACTTTGTCTATAAAATGCCAGAAAATAGTGAAAAAAAATGTTGTCTTGTATTGTCTCACCAACAAACCAGAATCCAAAGATATACAGTTTAGTATCATTTATGACAAAGAAAAGCATCAAATCCTTGTATAGGAGAAAATAGAAAAAGAAAAAGTTTAAATTTTTGCTTAAAAGATTAAATTCGAAAAATTATTAGAAGACTAAAATGATTATTCAGTTATCAAATTGTTGAAGATTAATTTTCTGTCAATCGACAAATCAATTAATTGACAAATCGTTGCAGCTATTTCCTTGTTGGTTTTGGTCTTTTCATGGGAGATGTTGATATTAAGAAAAAAATGGAATAAAGCCACTTATTTAGACTACCCTCATTGAGATAAATAGAATGGACAAAATAATAAAAAAATACCTCTCCATATAAAGCAAAACAATTCAACAGTACCACAAACTGCAGCCTCCAAAATAACCATATTTAATTTAAACTTTTATCTTAAAAGTTTAAATTAAATATGGCTGTTTAAATCTACAACCTGTTGATATATAGTCATCAAATGCTGCTGAGCAAAAATATTTTACACTCAGTTTTAACATTGATGCTTTTTCAACAGCAAATGACCAAAATCATTAGGCTATTACTGGGCCAGTCTATGGTTACAATCATAAGTCTATAAACTTATGTCTTGTCTGTTTAATCTATATTTTCATCATCTGCTGCCAGAAGCACTTTGTCCCAATCAGGTTACAGCTGAATTAAAAGTCAAACAGGTGGATCCCAGAAATGTATCATCATTAAGAAAATTCAATAATGTGGTCTATTGGACAAAGCTGAATAAAATGTAATAGTGCTAACTATATAATTATTTTCTCCACTCAAACTCAGGCCATGTTCACACTCTCCAGCTGAATTCATAAATTCATCTTTTTCCTATGCATTTTGCTCCTGCATCCAGACTACATGTAGTTTTTCTCCCCAAAAACTTTACTTTTCTAAAACAGTCTCCATAGTGTGTAAATCTGACAATGCTGGCTTGGCATTTTAGTGTGTACTGGGAAAACAGAGGTTTGTGGGAAACACTGCTATATCAGTGAAAAAACAGACGGTGGCAGTAGCTTGGTATTTCATTGTTTTCTACTTTTCTAGATAATAGACCATTTAGTATACCATGCTCAGTAAGAGGAGAATCACCGTTTTTGGCATTTTAATGTGAATAGATGTCAATTGCTGAAAGGAAACGCCTGGTGTGTGGACGCATGTTGTTTTATCATGAAAACAGCATTTTAAATTTTGGGTGGCTTAATGTTGACATAGCCTAAGACTCTTTTACTGCTGCTGCCTATGTGATTTGAAGATGAATGCCCACTGTCCACACATTATTCCTTCTGGCTCCACTGGATTCAAATGGAGGCTCACCTCTTTATTCAACCATTGCCATAATGAATCATAGTATCTGAGGTCCAGTGATGATTTTTTAATTCACACAAGTCAGAGTTGACTGAACTAACTCTGATCAACTGCTCTGGAGTTTCCAATCCCAGTGTTAGTCAACTCAGAGTTTGTGAAACCCGCTTTCTAAAATACCTGTCTAGGATAAAATGACACTGTCATGTGTAGCAGGGGTCAGTTGGGGACCAGAGCGAAGTTTTCGCCCTGGGCCCCTCACCCCAGGACGTTAATCCAGCCATGGTCTGCATCTGCTCATACCCATTTACTTGCGAGCACCAGCAGTAGTATCCTGTCCCCCAATATGCCTTTATTAGAGAGCAGGAAGAGATAACATTTCGCTAAACGCCACGAATGCTTATCTATGACATGCATTATGGAGGATGACCTACACTAGCCAGCACTTAATCGTGTTTACTGCAAGGGCAATGTCACTCCGACGTTGACTCACAAGTGGACCAGTCTCTTATAGTTCATGCAGTCACCCGCTAATAACCCATATCAACAACTGTGACCCTTTAGCTAGGGGTCTCACTTGTGATACAATGTACGCCAGTTCCACAGCTAGCGATTAGCTAGCTACTCGTTAGCCAGCTGTATTATCTCTAACCAGTGTAGTGTTGCTAACATGCAATGATAGCCATCTTTCTAGCAACAAAGCTAACGTGTCCGCGGCGTGGTAGTTAGCTCCCTCGCTAGCTCGGAAGCTAATAAAACAGCTGTTAGATCATTCCTTGATAGCGGGCGTCGAAGCCAGGTTGGCTAGCGACTAAACCCGGTTTACCACTTACACCAGTGGTGCTTACTATCTAATACCAAGGAGAAGAAGAAGAAAAGACCGAAGAAGGAGGGCGGGATACGCTTCTTCGGTGGTATAATGGCGGCGACAGACTAAAAGTTAACATTAGCTGTCTCCCCCCGTTGAAATCCTCCATACATTAATATCAGTGTCTAATATATCACCGAAAAAGTAACATTAATGATAAATAAGTAAATTTAATTCATCATTACTCACCACACTCGGACATTACCGGTTGAGGAAATAGGGCAACAACTTCAGCTTTTTTTCTGCATGTTAGAAGGCTCGGTCTGATTGGCTGAGAGGGTCACTTCATAATCCAATAGGATTCGACTACATATAAGACTGACAGCGTTTGGAATCTGAAAGCGCGGCAGTGCTGCAGCAGCAGGTTATGGTCACAGAGAGAAATTCACTTGTTCCAGCCTTAAAATGTGAATAATTGCTAGTGTTCTTACTCTTCTGCAATAGTAAACAAGAGCAGTGTTGTGGTTGTCTTAAGAATATGTATCGTGGGCATTTTCTCTATTTTCTGACATTTTATGGATTGAGCAATAAATTGATTTTTAAAGAAAATACTTGTCAGAACCTTTTAATAATGGAAATAAATTTTGGTTGCAGCCTTATGGTATTCATATGATGGAATAATACGACCTTTCTGTGGGTTTTTGTGTGTTAATTAATTGACACAGACACAATTGAAGCAATCTGATACATATACAATATAAACAACAAAACAAAGACAATGGAAGGCTTAAAATTATACATATACATTATACATACACAATACATAATGCACTGAACAGAAAATAACTAATTCAAATCAATATTTGATGTGAGCACCTTTTGTATTTAAAACAGCACCAAATCTCCGTTTGTGCACAGTTTTTCAAGATACTTGGCAGGTAAACTGTTGCATCTTGGAGTACTTGTCACTGTTCCTCTGTGGATTTAGACTGTCTCAGTGTCTTGTGTCTCTTCATGTAATCCCAGACTGACTCCATGATGTTGAGATCAGGGCCTTGTGGGGGCCAGACCATCTGTTGCAGGACTCCTTGTTCTTCTTGTCACTGCATGTTTGGACTCATCATGCTGCAGAATGAATTTGAGACCCATCTGATGCCTCCCTGAAACTTCTATTTCTAATGTCAAGAATTAACTTTCTTCAACTTTTCATGTTTTCATGTTCAGCCAAAGATAGATATAGATATACAGTGTTTTATCTTTGTAGCTCAAAGCTCCAGTGCAGAACACATACATTAGATTGTTTCATGGTTGACATATAGATGCCAAACCATAAAATCAACCAGAGATCACTTCCTGTCAGTCCTGCTTAAAACAAGATAGTCAACAGCCTTGACTTAAAATAGCACAAATCTCCAATAAATCAAAAATGTTTATAGAAGGTTAAAACTGCAGGAGTTACAGACAAACAACACATGACACAAAATATGCAGCAAATTCAAAATTAAACAGTAATGCAACCAAGGAATACTGAATAAACTTTGCACATGTACAAAATTGAATCCTCGAAACAATATAATAGTATTGATTCATTTGTTTACACATACCGTCTGTATAGATAGAGAAAGGGCATGTGATGGGAAATAGGTTCAGAGTCTGTGAGGCCTATTTGTACAGTTTTTGAACACTTGTTATTCTAAGCCAAATTTTATGCCACACAAACATGGTCACACAGCTCTCTAAGCACCACTTCTGAATGGAGTACTGAGTAAAATGTTTCCGTTTCTGATAAACAACATAATTGCTGACTTTTTCCACCTTTTTCACACAGTGACAGCAATAACTGTCTCATATGACTTCAACTGCACTTGAGAGGTTTATTAAATCTACACTATATAACACTTATCAGATTTACTCTCCTGAGAGTGAATACAGGCAGCTCAACAGTGTACCTCGATTCTGCCACATCAAGTATTATATACAGAGGTCAGTGAAAGTATAGACTAGCCCACTCCACTCATTTCCCAGAATTACACAGTGCCCCGATGTGCTCCATTGGCTGATTGAGAAGATGAGCAGCTCCTTCAGACTGCTTAACCTGACTCCAAATGGTATTAAAGAGCCGACTGGGCGTTCAGCCAGAGGGGCCGGGGCCACTCAAGCTCCACAGAAACTTTACAATCTCAACACAGCGTAGAGTAATGTTATTCAACCTTGACATATTATATCACTATGATGAAGACTCAGCAGACATGTTTTCATTGAAGGTTACGGTTCGGAGGCAGTTAGGTCCTAGGAGAGGAGGGCTGTCTTGTCATGCACCATTGATAATTCAGGATCTTTACATGCACCTTCTACCTTCTCTACCTTCTTCTCCTTTTCCTCTCATATGCTTCCTCCTCTGTTTTGTTATTTTCTAGATACCCCTCTCTCTCTTAAAACTTGCAGCTGCTGTGCTCAGGTGGAAAAAGTTTCATAATCATGTAGTTAAAAAAACAATCTCACTTTAAGGTCCATTTAGCTGTTCGACAGACTCATTTTGGGATTTATCAAGGAGAGCATTTTTGGAGATTATGAAACTAGAATTCAGACTTCTTTATTCCTCATGTTGAAAAAACACTCAATGTTTATCTTTATTTGTTCCCCTTGAAATAAAAGAGACATTATAAAACTGTAATATATATTTATCCCACTAGGGTTTTGTTAGAAAATAGAGTCAGATTTTTGTATGTGTGATGTAAATGTGTGTAAACATTTTTGGAAACACATGCACATCTGGTAACCTCTGAGATGAAGATTGATAATGTCCCAGAAGATTTTTCCCACATTATATCTTCCATCTCATAGGTCTGATTTGGTTTAGATTGTGTTAATGATTCATCAAATTATTTTTAAATTCATAACAGGCTGTCCAACTTGTGCTCCACTTGCTTTAGTGTTTTCTTTCCCTGTCTGTCTGGATGTACTTACACTGTAAACTTACACTTTAAATATCAATAAAATGTATAATTTGCCCAGGGCTGCTCAAACTTTGGCTGACAACTGTGGAGGAGTTGCTGCTTGTGTTCACATGCTGGTGTTGTTATGTAAAGTGCTTAATTTTTGTGAAAACTGCTTTTTAAATTTGAAGTCAAGTAAGTAAGGTTAGTTATTGATTTTCTCTGTAAACTGAATTTTTTTTGTTTGTTATTTGACAAAATGAAATAAGGCTGTAGCCACATCAATTCATCACAGCTCAACTAACAACAGGAGAACTGATGTGATACTTGGTGTAGTTAAGCTACCTTTAAATCATAAGGACATAGGAAATATTAATAGCACTCAGACAGATCGAAAAGATGCTGCCATTCTGTAGTCCTGTAGCCTCTGTAGTTACTGCACACTGCCTTTGTCAGGCAGAATATTAAACTTGTAGAAAACAAAAGAAAGACCACTATCACAAGATTTCTTCTGTCTGTGATACAATCACACTGCCCTGCCAAAACTTTCTAACTTGAACAAGTGCATTAATATTTTGTAAACCAAAATCCTTCATCAAAAATGATCACACAGTCTAATTCTAAATGTCTATGTAAGACTTAACTTCATGATTAAGAATATAGACCAAAGACTGGGCCAGGTCATACAAGGACATAGTATTAATTTAGCTGAGCTGAACCTGAGGGGCAGGCTTCAGGTAACCAAGGAATTTTAGTTAAGCGCCGGGCAGCAAAGGTTCTGCCAGAACCTATAAATATTTTCTATTGAACACAGACGAAGACGAAAGAAGAAAGTTCATGGACACCCTGAGACTTCATTAAATCCTGCTCTTCTTTTACAGCAGTGAACAGCAGATTCTTGTCTGAATGAAAAATCGGAATCGCTCTGAGACAGTTGTGTGGGGGAGACTTCCTTGCACCTTGTTAGGCAGCGATGAAGATATTCAACCGTGTTTGAGATGCATGCTGAAGGTCCTTGAAGTCACGGAGCCAAATGAGACCTGAATTCAATGTGATGCTCTGATATCTTGAAACAAAAGTGCGACTCCATGTCAGAGATAAAGGCTGAGGGAGGGTGTCACTGGAATGTACCATCAACTCAAATCAGTATCAATACCAGCATGTTAATTGTTCATGAACCCTCCCCTCTTGACAGCCCTGATATAGTCAAACTGTGGAAGTGCAAGATTTCATCAGTCAAGGTCAAAAACATTTTCAATGACATTTGCAATAGCATGGTTCCCATAACAACCGCTCTGATTTCATCATTCTCCAACTGGTCCTTTCAAAAGTTCACCGCTCCACCTGACTCCACTGCAGAGCATAAAGAGTGCTTCATTTCATTAATCCCTTCATGAAAAGGTTTCTTATGAAGCTGAAGTAAATCTGATGACTCATGCCTGATAAGCAAGTTTATAATGTTTTGCTTATTCTAATTTCCACATCAACATTAGTGCATTAATTTTATCCTGCTTTAAATTTAGCTATGAACATTTTTGTAGGAAAAAACAGCCTCAGAAAAAAAAGGCTCAACACAAACTCAACATTTGTTCTTAGCCTCATCACACATGCTCTTTTTGGTGATGTTTGACTGAAAACAGATTGCGTCCTGAGTTGCCAGCAGGAAGAGAAAAATGCAAGATGCATCAGTCAGTTTCACCCCATCTACTGAAAGATGGCCCAGTTTTATCAGCCAGAATTACACAATATCTGCAGGCCTATTTTGCTCTTTGTCAAATATAGTTAAGTAGAAGAGAAATACTCAAGTAAAGAATACCGATGGTATTTTGATGCAGCATAGCCGGACTAACCTGCTATGAGGTCCTTGTGCTAAACACAGCTACTTGGCCCCTATTGCTCTCCCTTTTCTCTCACTCCCTGTGCAGAAGCAGAGGGAAAGATGATGTATTGGTAGCAGATATATTATTGATAATTAAGGAAATAAATTATTGTTATTATTCTGATAATGGAACTTCAGTGGATAAGTATGTTCTATAATGTAGAGCCTTACGATAGCTGTGGATATCAACCCCTTAGGATAAAAAAAACACTATCAAATTACATTTACTCAATTTTAACACTAGGACCCTCTTTCATACAAGGTCTCAAGATCAGTTAATAGGGACCCACCTAAAAGCCCTCATCACATCTGTTAATTTGCTTAGTGGTGCATCTTCAAAATAAAATTTCAATTAGATTGAGATAAACTTGTTTTTGGGGCATTTGCTTACTTTGCCTGGTTGGTAATTCACCCTTTATTTTGCACAGAACCTTAAATTCATATTCTTGAAACTCTCTTCCTTTGCATGCACAGGATGAGTGAGTTATCAATAAACATGCT